GGTAATTCGCATAGATTGACATTTATCCGCGTTAAAACGTAATTGCCATTTACAAGCCCATTCGCCAATATTGGTAAGATCTTCCTGAAGACGCTGACAATCTGTGATCGGGTCAATTATCTCTCTATAGATCTTCGTATCGTCTGCATATAATTTGATTGTGGACGATACACATTCTGTTATGTCATTAATATACAGCAAAAACAATAAAGGCCCAAGGATGGTCCCCTGTGGAGTGCCGGAGGTTACATACGACCAATCAGAACAAGATCCCCTGATAACTACACGTTGTTTGCGACCAACCAGAAAATGTCTGAGCCAGTTAAGCAGACAACCGTCGATGCCATTACTTTTTAATTTTAAAAGCAGCCGCTCGTGAGGGACACTGTCAAAGGCTTTAGCAAGATCGAGAAAGATGACGTCGGTAGGAGTGGAGAGATTTCGTGATTTCGCCCAGTCATTAAACGTTGATAATAATTGAGTTGCAGTAGATCTTCCTCGCAGAAAGCCGAATTGATTGTTGTTGATAAGGTCAATTTCACGCCAGAAATTAAACATCCTGTCGAAAACAATTTTTTCACCGATCTTACAAGGGATTGAAGTAAGGGAAATTGGGCGGTAGTTTTCTCTCGAAGACTTAGGACCCTTCTTGTGTAGAGGTGTAATATCTGCGTGTTTCCATTCATCTGGTAAGAGGCCAGCAGAGAACGATTTATTTAGCATATAGGTCAACGAAGGTGCTAATTCCGAAGCACACGATTTTAAGATGCACGGCGCGATAAGGTCAGGCCCAGGGGACTTGTTGGGCTTGAGTTTTAGGAGGAGGCGGCTTACCTCATCAACACAACAATCAATGTTTGCAAGTTTCTTGTCGACAATACAATCCTGTATAGGGAAATTTATCGTGTCGGGGCCTTACATTAAAATTATCAACTGAAGGTGGTTTTTCCTTCTTCCCTTAGAAACGAAGAGAAAATGTTGGAAAGAATACTCAACTGGGAAGAAAAGGGCTGAAAAGTTTTAAATCGACCATGTCAACAGTCCCATCGCTCGCTAAATATAGAAATGTCATTCTTCGCTCGGTGAAAAGCGATTTTTAAATTGAAATTCTCCTCTTTAAGTTGAGAATCGCTCGTCTGTTTGGCTGCCATTTAACTATATTTTATAGATGTTTGGCGGCTGGTTTATTACGTTTTGAGGTAGTTTCGTAAACTTCACTAGATTTGACCTTTCTTTTTGTCACGCAACTACCTTGTAAGGTAATTCGCTCCTGATTTGGCACCGTGAATTGCTTCTTTTCTTTAAATTCGTCATCACACCTCGTTAATTTTCCAAACACCTCTCCCTTCAGTGATGCATTTTTCTGTCATTTTCTAAGTTTTTATGGGGACATATTGCCCACTGCCGTTTCTTTTTCGGTTTCGAACCGAGGGCATCATGAGTGAACCAACTTGACCCGTGAAGTGTGAGGGACAAAGACCCATGAATTGCTACAAATGCAGGAAATGTTGGCCTCTCGCATGACCATTGCGGGAGCCGAGAAAGAGACTACTTTCTCACGGTGTTGATTCCAATCTTTCAACCCACTTTGCTCATAGTTTGTACAATACCTTTTCTATTCATGTCGCGAAGGAGTTTTAACATGCAACTTAGAGAATCCTCTTTCAGAGAAAAGTTTAATTCACGACTTTATTACTCTCAATATTCTTGAAATTTAAAACAATTCCTAATATTTTTGTCCGAAATAAAATATTCTCCGTGAGGACGTTAAATATTATTTCCTAAAGTAACCGTTCCAACATAAGAAATGATGTAATAAGACACTTGTCCTATTTCCCCGACAGTTTGGTTTTCTTATGAAGTACTGTTGCCACAAATTAAGACTGATTTTATTTTAACTGGCCTTGCTGTGTGTTAACCGGGCATCAAACCACTAAACCTGTTGTTCTACTACTCTATCGAGTAGATTTCCGTTCGATATCATTCAGCGCAAAGCAAAGTCTTTTCCCAATCAGGAAAAGAAAAAAAAAGAGCGGCAAGACAGCTGCACCAATGATAATGAAATCTGTACACATTTTACAAAACAACCTTACAACGGTCACTGGGTTTGACAGAAAACCAAACGGAGTCTTTTAACTCCACCTTTCATAGGAAATAGATAAACATCCAGAACCAATACAGAAAAACAAGTTTACAGCCAACTCATTCATCGCAAGTAAAATAAAAGCAAATAAACCCAAGCAAAACCAAATTGCCATTCACGGCTACAATACCATCATTGTAGTTTCACTGTTGTCATCACTGTCAAAACACCAAGCATTTGATGTATAATCTTTAAAAAAATGTATGAAAAAATAGCAAAAGAAACAGAAATACCAACCAACGACATTATCGCCCTTTGTTACCCTTTCACCCTAAAGTTATAAAAATTTTGTCAAAACAGATTGAGGTTCTCCTCAACCAGAACTTAAAATGGCAGTAAGTCCAAAGCAAACAAAAAAACGGAGAAAATGGCCCAGAACGTTGCTAGAGGGTGTGGCTAATAAAAACCTTCGCTCCAACTGTCGCCATCATTGGATCTCGCTGGGCTCAATCCACGAGGCGTTGGAATTCTCCTTGAAAAACAAGAAGACAAAAAGAAACAAAACAAAAAAACAAAACAAAAACAGGTAAATCACAAAGAGATAGATATATGATATGTGGCTGAACAAACTTATGTATACTGGCGCGTAGTTGAGAGAATTCAAACAAGGGGGGAAGGGCGGTTAAGCGGTTCCGTGCGCCTTGTATGATGTGGCTTATGCCGCTGCTCTTTACTTTATGTATCAACGGGCTCGTAGTCACGCAGCGACAAGGACAAGCAAATGGAGTGCCTTGTACGTACTGGAAAAAGATTGATGTCATGCAGATTCAATGGATTCACGCGTTCTCCTCGCCTGATGTATAGAGTTTGCAAATTGTTCACTTGAGAGAAAAATATTTTACAAAATAAGGGGGTCACGGACAACCCAGGATCCCTCTTTCTATTTCTCTTGGTTTTAACCCGAGGGATGTTGGCATAGACAGTACTTAAAACAAAACAAGCGCATCATCTTCTCATTATGACTTGTGGAGAAATGTGAAGTGGAGTAGGAGCACATTTTTTTCATACCTCGGTGCAGCTAGCTGACCAGCTCTGGGTGTAACAGGTTTCCTTGGAGACGGCAAGTGTGGTGGGGTGTTAGGTCGCCTGATGGCAGTAACCTGGCCTGGAATAGTCGGAGTTTGAGGTAAACTGCGCCTGCGTACTTCAGCGTCCTCCGCTAAGCGTGATCGGGCTGAAGGCTCACGTCTTCTGACCTGATTTGGTTCACGTCTTCTCACTTGAAGAGGAGGAAAGCTCATTATCATATGCATGAGGACAGAATTAAGATATCTTACCTAAGGCTGTAAATTTACACCACTTGTCACCCTGAATGAATCTGTGGGGAACGACGGTAAAACCCAGCTAAGCCTGATCTTCGGTTGTCGTGACAATTATATCTGGATTAATGTCGACTAGTGCTAAATGTTCAGCGGGAGGCTCAGCTTAGAGCTCGGTCATTCACAAACGAACTCCCTGTTAATAGGACACGTGGATAAACATGAGCTGTTGATTTGTGTCGAGCTGTTCATACCTGCTGTTACTAAGGGAACATCATCATCTGGTCTTATGTCGTCTCTCTGCCAAGAATCTGGCGAAAAAGTGAGAACAAACCCGATTTACGACTCAAACAAAACAAATAAATCATGGTAATTGAACTAAGTGGAGTGCCCCTTGCTCCCAAATCACACAAAAAATTTCGCTCAGAGACTGCTCTACATAAAGTCAATTGTCACTTGATTATATCTACTTTGAAACTGCTCGTTTTTATCCCCTCAAAAGAGGCCTCTTTTCTTCTTTTGGCGACAAAAGTTGCAAAAATTAGCACCTTGGGATCTCTGTTATTTTCTTGCAGTTTGAGTGGTTACTTTCAAAGCACCTTGAAATTCACTTGTTTTGTTTGCAAAGTAAAGTTTTGTTTGTAAAGTTGGTTAAGAGGCACCTTATTTATCAGAAATATTAAGGTGGTTCTGAACCTACTTCACATTTTCTTTTAAATTTAGCATTTAGATGAAACTTTACAATCCACTAATGAAAAAGGAGGGGGAGTTACAAGCACACAAAGCCAAGATTAGGGGTGTTTTCAAGCAGCATTGCTATGGTAACCTAATATATCACACAATGGTAACAACTTAGATGTTTCAAGTGTGATACCATGCTTCCTTAATTGCTGAAAATACAATAAGATGCAACTGAATGCTTACTATTGTGATCATTTTGAGGATGACTGTTGGTGGCTGGGACTCGTCTCCTGGGTTGGACATATTCCTCATCACTATCAGCTTGCACTGATGTTTGGATTGCTCCTACAAAATCAAATCCCCCAAAAAATATATATTTGTTCCTTCCTTAAAGGCCACTGAATGTGTTCAGCTTAAACTTTGACAGCAAAAGTTTGACCACTGACCTGTTGTCACTGGTTGTCTGGCCTGTGTAGGTGCACCTCTTCTCCGTACTAGTCCTGTAACAGAAATAGTATTCATAACACAAGCTATTGATAAACTACCAAGAAAAACACCAGTAATACGCATCTGAGAGGTTATTATCAAAATTTTAGGGCCAACAGAATAAAAAATACCAGAGTAGGTGCTAAGTAAGATGATTACTGATATCATCAGCACTGATTTGGTGAATGATCACTACAATGTTTATGGCAAGAAAACAAAACCATCTATTAACATCAGAGTTTTTTAAGCTCCATTACCTACCTAAATCACAAGCTGAATAAAAAATTAAGCTAACTTGAAATACAATTTAAATAAAATTCCTAGTTTTATGGAAGTTGTAGAGAACCCTCACCTTTTACCACTAAGTCTTCTTTATTTTGCGATACTTGGCCTTGTCTCTGTGGAACGACACCTCCAGCATCATTGTCATCAATTTGTAGTGAAGTGGTATCTTATTTGTTGGAATAGTTAAAAAAGTTAATTGATGACATTGCACTCTGTCAGCCTAAGTTACCAGAATGTGAAAATTTCAGAGTCACATGCTCATCATTGATATCATCAAAACAAATGCCGTGACTGTGCACTGCCACTCATGATGAGTCAACCTATCTACAGCTATTAGTGATATGCAAGATTTTTTTGTATCAATTTGTTGAGACATATGTTTGCTATGCTAAAGCATAAATTAAAATGAAATGCTCGATTCTCTCATTTCACCCCAAACGATAGAAGCTGACAATTTCAGGACCTCTCTACCATAGCTGACTTACACTCTCTTTACTCACCCAGTGAAGCTCTAGGCTGTGGGGATTCACCTCTCCTTCTTAATGGACCTACCACAAATAAAACATAAAAAACTGATATACTTTGTAATCTGAACCCCCCCCCACTCTAAACTTAAAAATGCTACATGTATAACAACTCCACAAATCTGTGTTTTTATGCACATAGGCAGGGCTGCTTAAATTATTCAATCAATTGCTGAGAACCATATTATTCTTGGCACAAGTTTCAAACTCACAGTACTCATTTTTTTCCCTAGCTGAATTAATGTTTGTGTATCTAACCTGTTGCTACTGGTTGTCTTGCTTGTGCAGGAGCTCCTCTTCTCCTCAATGGTCCTTAAATTTTAACCAAAATGAGATATCTCACTGACAGAAAAATGTGTCCATGATTAAGGTGTGACATATTTGGTTTTTCATATCTGGTTTTCAATAAGAACTGCAAGGTCCCTCTTTCCAAAAATAATCATGACTCCTAATTTGAGATTTTTGGTACAATTACTTTAAAACCTATACTTTGAATAAGTAATTTAAACTTTAGGAAGTCAATGAAAGCAAATTATTCTATTTCTTATCAGGACATATGTGTGTAATTTTGATGCTATCTACTGTGTTTTTCCTCAAATTGTAATCATGCACAGAAGTAAAGCATGTTACTTTTCTTGTAGAGCTCCCACAGTTTACCAGTTAACAAGCTCTACACCAAATAAGTCCACAACACAAGAGTATTTTTGGAAATTGGGGCTTAATATTTTTCTATAAAACCTTTGGCCACCATCTTGAATTAGTTTCATTAAATTTAAGAGAAGCATTAGGAAGAGAGAGAAATTTCTATCATGGTTCGTACAACTTCAGACAAACAAAATTCAAGGACTTTTCAAGGACAAAAAATGGTTTTCAAGGACTAAGTTTTATTCAGGAATCTAAACCAGTTACGATTGAATACACATTTGCCCATTGTTCAATTAAATCGAAAACAAAAGGAAATGAAAAATTCATTGACCAAAACATAGCCAAACCACAGGTAGCCCAAGCTCTTTCACAGTGAATAATTAAAGAGTTTGTATAGTGGTTTAGTTGGACTTGCTTTTGAGCTCCGTAAATGTAAAGTTGTGTGAAATGATCAAAGAAATGAAGTCTTACCTTCGTAGAGAGTAGTCTTTGTTGTTCTCCTCGTGATTTGAGGCCGTTTTGGTGTGTTTTAGCTTGACGCCCTAAATTACTGTGCATAAAATACTGGAAGGTCGGAAACTTCTATTGACACATGCTCGCCAAAATCACTCGAAAACAACACTTAAATACTCTCCCTCTAATCAAAACTTGGCAGCACGAAAGCCAAATACTTGCCCTTGAAGTTCACAGAAAAAAATTCCACTAAGGTCAGTTTGTTGAGCAACCAATCCAGCGAGAATTTCAAATTAACAGCCGTTCGGAATTCTTCTAATGCGTGGAAGGAACTTCTTATGCAGCTGAGAGACTGTTGTCAACCTGGAACCTCGTCAAATCTCTCTCAACGGGTCCTCCCCATAGTCTAGTTCTAACACCAACTCTTCACAAATACTAAGGTACCCCAGGTAAGAGGATATTTGTAAAAATCCATTGAAAACAGTGAAGATGGACAGTATCGACGATCTAGTCTAGTCCATGAGTTTACCCAGGGTACCTTAGTATGTGTGAAGAGTTGGTGTTATAAGACTATGGGGAGGACCCGTTGAGGGAGATTTGAATAGGTTCCAGGTTGACCGCACATTAACCGTCTCTCACCTACACAAGAAGTTCCTTCCACGCATTAGAAGAATTCCGAACGGCCTTTAATTTGCTCGACAAACCAACTTTAGTGGGATTTTTTTTTTAGGGCGTCAAGCTAAAACACATCAAAACGGCCTCAAATCGCAAGGAGAACAACAAAGACTACTCTCTACGAAGGTAAGACTTTATTTCTTTGATCATTTCACACAACTTTACATTTACGGAGCTCAAAAGCAAGTCCAACTAAACCACTATACAAACTCTTTAATTATTCACTGTGAAAAAGCCTGTGACAGAGCTTGGGCCACCTGTGGCCAAACCACTACATGTTTACGTTGCCCTTTAAAACAAAAACACATCGCGGACTACCCCACATCAGATGCCTTGCGCATGAAATTGAGGCACAGATCCAACTTTGCTTCATGTACCACTCACGTTTTAAACCGACCATTTCCGCTTTTTGGTAGTTACTAGTGGACAAATTTTCCATAGCAAAACCGCTTAATTTATCAGAAAAGCGACAAGGCACACAGAAGTTGCTAAATTTCAAGGGCTTTTCATGACCTACTAAAGAAATCAAGTACTTTTCAAGGACTTAACCAAATTCAAGGACTTTTCAAGACGACCATTAACATTCAAGACCTTTTCAAGATTGTACGATCCATGTTCGACAGAGAATTTGAGTAATGGGTGATATAAAGTGATGGGAAACAAAACTTTGTAATGCATAGAGTTACTGTTCCTGAAGGAAAACTCAACTTTATCACATCTGAAGTTTCTGGTTGGTGCAGTTTAGTTTGACTGTCAATTGCTTGCTAGTTTAACTGATGTATTTTGTTCTCTTGCATGAAAAGATTGTAAGGCACAGTAAAACAACAGAGATTACAAACTGTCTCAAGTATTTATTGCGATATTATAGCAAAGGCATTCAAAACCTTATCTTGGAAGGATTAAGAATATCTTGTATGATTCTACATACATGTACCTCTGTTGTCCATAATCACTGGTCATCACCATAATTATATACTCACCTTTCACCACTAAGTCATCCTGATCTTGTGATACTTGACTGCGCCTTTGCAGAACAATGCCATCATTATCAACCATGTCATCACTTTGCAGTGAGGTTCCATCTTGAAAGTCAAATAATCGATCAAATTATGAAACAAATAATCGACTATTTAATTTGAACAATTTAAGCAATCCTGTAACCAATCATTCACTTCCTAAACCAACACACATACTAATTTACCTGTGTAAACAACATTAAGTTACAGTATAACTGACCTAAGGATGTTCTTGGCTGGGGTGATGGTCCTCTTCTTTTTAGTGGACCTGAGTTACACATAACATTATTTTGGAATTACATTGAAAGAAAAGCATGTCTTAGAAACACTTCAGAATTCTACCTCTAAAAAGTCTAATTCTTTGAATTATTACAGAATAACCTTAAAGTTTGAAAATTATTGTCTGCAATTGCACTTAAACTGCAACTGTATGTGCCACAATTTTGACTATTGCTTAAAAGCCTGCCCCATTAACAGTAAGGTAACTGCTTTTAACAAGCATACAGCACTTTTTGAGAACTCCCTTCCATGAGTTGAGTTATGAGAACTCATGTGTCTGTGAAATAAAAACATTAAATGGAAATTGTTCTGTGCAATTTGTTTCACAGTTGAAAAAGAAATGTGAAATTCACTTTCATTGAAACACTTGCATCATTCCTGAAGGCCAGATTCAAACCCCTTCATCATATCAAAAGTATCACACCACATTTGTACAACTGTAGTCTTTGTTAGGAACATTAGGGTACGATTAGGTACATGTACCTTTTACTACCAAACTAGAATCCTCTTGGCTTGAGGAGTTCAGTGCTGGAACACGTCTCTGAGGTCTGGATGGTGGACTGTCATCATCACTATCACTATCGTTATTAATGGGCCTTGAGGTCTGAGACACACCTTAACAATGATAAAGTTTAACATAAATTTCCAAATGAGGAGTTACATAAGGACTCTCTTCAGTACCTTCATGGAGTCACAAGGGAAGCACTGGATTTGACAAATTTCTTTTTAAACTTAGTACATGTTCATCCCTGAGTTTTCATCCTCCCCATTTATCTGCAGTTCAAGTCTTTAATAGTGGGGCTCCCATGCGCACGTGGGGAAGAGCCCCATGCCCGTGGGATATGGTCAACCTCTTTTTGTTTGGTTGTCACGTGACTGACCCAGTGTACACACATAATGTATGTGCCTAAGGGAGGGGTGACTCAGGTGAGTCTTGGCAAATGCACATCTTTTATGTTATCATTAATATTAAGAACTTGAGAGCTCTGCTTTTAGGCTTGGCTAAATCTATATATTATTTCTGTTGAAACAGATTTTATACTGGCTTCCCTCAGCATCCCTTCTTTCAGCCAAAATATGGTATAAACACATGTACGGGTAGTACATGCACATATATGAACTACTATCAAATCATAAATTGTTAAACTAAACGTACTTGATAGAAACACTTGGGTTTTTAATACCTGTTGATGGAGCTCCCCTTCTTCTCAATGGTCCTATTATAAATGTAAAGGGATTATTGTTAGCCATTATGATAATGATAAATTTTTCTTTCCATTTGAATATTACTGTAAACGTCCATGTATAAGCCACATCCGTAGATAAGTAACACCCCCAATTTGGAAGTGCAGAATTTGGAAAAAATAAAAATACAGTTTGAAGTTTCAGTAGAGTTGTATTGCTACAAACAATCAAGGTTTCAAAACACCGACACAGAAGTTGTGGCTATCTTTCACATTTATCAAGTCTAAAGAAAGCGAAATTTCATTTGCCGTACCTTTTTCATTGGAATATACACCATCTTTAACTTAAAATGCTCTTTAGATCTGATTTTTCGAGATTATCACTTTGAAACACACCTTAAAGTTGAAATTCTTTTGGCATTGAAAAAAAAAAGTGCCTAGTAGCCAAGCCTTAAATGTTGGGAGGAGTCTGGGCCAGGACCTGGTCATCGTCTGGGCATAAACAGAAAGCACGCGCACTGATGCAATCATTTCAGTTTCTATTTTATTAATTAATATTACAATTTATAAAAGATGCTACTGTTCTTCATGTGAACATCTGATAAAGTCAGTGTTTATTGTTAAAAGCCATAAAAGCAGGGGTTTCATTAATTTTTTTCAGCAGGAGGGCAACTGGTTTTCACAGGCAGGCAAAACTTTTTGAACTAAACTTCTTTGTAAGATAAACCTTCCTCCAGATTGTTAAACCAGGTGGGCAAAACCGTCCTTACAACTGGTCAATTTGGCCGGTGCCCGGCCCTTAATGAAAGTCCTGTAAAAGTCCTCACTATCACTATCCCCAAAGAGATTCTCATAACTTTCTGGGTCAATTTCAGCTTGTTGCTGTTTGAAACTGTAAAAAATAAGTCCACATCCTCATCCTCATCTATGCCTGCAAATGGATCAGAATTGGAGTCATCTGCCCACATTTGGTCGTCCTCTGTGCCATCCATGGCATTTGTAATGCAGCACTTTCAAAAGTCAATGAACTACAGCAACATGCTCTCAGTTTCTTTTATGTTTATTTCTTGGCATCTTAATTAAGAAGTTTTATGAATATTAATTAGGTTTTTGAGAACTTTAAACACAGATGTATCTGTTGTAGTTCAATTTTATACTTGGTTCAAATTTTATTTTCGTTTGTTCTCGGTCATGTTAATGTATGATAATGAGTTTGAAACAAAGGAAAATAACATTTGAACCAAGGATAAAATTGAACTACAACATATCCATAGATAAGCTGCACCCTTGATTTTTGGCTTCAATTTTGTGAAAAAAAGTGCGGCTTATACGTGGATGTTTACGGCAAGTCATATTATCAAACTGAATTCATTAATCAATTATGTTGAATATCACATTGAGTGTTTTGCACCTTGAGTATCAACTCACAAAAAACATAAACAAAACTTAAGAGCCAAAAAATTAAATAGAAAAATGAAGAACCAAAATGTTCCACAAAAATGAAATATTAAAATATATTATAATCTAAAAAATCTGAACCACAGTTAACATTGAATCCAAAGGAAAAAAATTAGAATAGTTCTCTTAAAAACAAAATAAAGAACTGAAGTATGGATAGGTTAAATGAAGGTCACTGAGTAACATGAAAAACCTTTTAATTATCAACACAAACCTCGCACAGCCAAATCAGAATCATCCTGGTTTGCAGTTGCCATAGGAACACGTCTCCTTGGTTTTACTTGAACCTTTTCTTCATCATCATCGTCACTATTATCACTCACCTGCCCTGCAATATTATTATTATCACTCAGCTGCCCTGCAATATTATTAATATAACCATCACCCTCCCTATCATTAATGTAATATCATTAACATATCAGGAATGAAGAAATTAGATTCCTTGCCAGTGAAATGCAGCAGATCAGTGATCCAATGATCAGTGTTCAGATCACTCAGATCAGTAATCTGATAAACCCTCTCTGGAGCAGATTCAATAGATCAATGATCTGAAAGGGATTCACACCAAAGGAACACCACATATCAGAGACCCTGATCTGGATCACTCTAAACAAATGCACCCTTAAATGAAAGTTGCACCTCAAATTACACAATCAAGTCACAGCAAATAATAATAATCAAAAGGACATACTGCTATCATGAACTGGTTGTGATTGCACTGCACTGTGATGGGTGTCTACATTGGCATGTGGGGGAGATCTTGACAGTGCCTCTATAAAAAAAAAAAAATTGCAAAATTACTAGCATCGTATGGTAAGTATCTTACCCTTTGATCTAGGTGAAACATACACATTTCTCACATTCAATATTGCTGTAAACATAAATATCTTACATCAAAGATAATGTTCTTGCAACTTTGTCACATTTATTTAAATTGTATGAGAATCAATACCTTCCTGTGCTGCAATAGACTCCAATTTTGCCAAAAGAGAGCCTCTCACTTTATTGAGTTCAGGTACATCTAAATTATCCTTCAGATACTTGTAGGGACTAACTTTCTTCTGTTCCACTGAGGGTGGATGGCTTGGAGACACATATAACCTAAATGAAACAATAACAAAATAATGCTGAGTTTCATACATATTTCCTTCATGCAATCATACAAGTGCTCATGTATGCCAAAAGTTTTTATTATAAAGCTGTAATAAGTTAATTACAATTATTCTCGCATTCTGATTGGTTCATACTTATGATCTTTTTGAGGAAAGACGCAAAGATGATGTCACCATTATCAACATTTTGCTTTTTAATCACACTAAACAAATACACGTAGATTCCATGTCGAGTTCCATGGTGTAAGGGTATTCTCAGTCACGGTGACAAATTACGATAAATTGTTGGTAGTTTGATCG